GGTCAAGGTGCCAGCACATTTGGTGTCTGGTGAGTGCTTCCTCTCTTATTCAAAGATGGTACCTTTTATATTTTATCTGCATCTTCTCCTTGCAGAAGAATGGAGCCAAGTTGCTCTCTCTCTCTCAGGGCTTTTTTTTTTTTTTTTTCCTTTTAAAATAAGGGCACTAATTCCACTCATGAGGGCAGATCCTTCATGGCCTGAGCATCTCCTAGTGCCCCACCTCTTAATAAGTCTTAATTACACATTGGAAATAGGTTTTCAACCTACAAATTTTGGAGGAATACAAACACTGAGACCATGGCATACATGATGTTGATGATAAAGATCCCCAAATTTCAAGCCGGACATGGTGGCGTGTGCCTATAATCCCAGTACTGGGGGGTCGGGGGCTGAGGCAGGAGGATCATTGTGAGTTAGCGACCAGCCTGGGCTACAAAGTGAGCTCAAGGCCAGCCTGAATTGCACAGTGAGATCCTGTCTCAGAAAGACCAAAAAAAAAAAAAAAAAAAAAAAAACCCCAAATTTCATTATCAAATTTATGACAGTTTTATTATGAGACCTTTGAATATATGAGAAGAATCTTCATGTGCATATATAAAAGACAAGTGTCAAAGATTAGTTTGTATTTAATTTTTTCTTTTTATTTTATGAGAAAATAAAATGAATTTTCATAACCAAATAACGAGTTATTACACTGTGTATCATTATTTTCAAAGTAGTTATTCAGTATAAACATAAACTAAAAAGATTCTTACAAAAAGGAACATATAGTAACATATACTTTTTTTCAGTGAACTATTAGTATAAGTGAAACTACCCTATATTGAAATATTTTTAAAACAAAAGAAGATGTAATTTGAGGAATAATGTGAACTTCCCACTTACTATTCATTTCTCTTCTACATTATAGCCTCACAGTTTATAATAGCTACATCTTGGGAGCAGCGTATTTTCATTTTTGTACCTCTGAGAGGAAATTGTCCTCATCCTTTATCATGAGCAACACAATCGCATTATTTTGACCTCTTTTCTTCCTTTCTAAATCAGTGGTACTGTCACGGAAAAGATAATCCGCAGAATACCCAGATAGAAACAGCAAAGGGCCCACAGATAAGGATTCAGTTGAACGCAACTGGGTACACAACATAACAGCACAGGACACAAAGTTAGTGTTGAAAAGTCAGTGGTGTCTCTGTGACCCAGCAGCACACAGACACTTAGGAACAGTCACACCCTAGAAGGAGTGAGGATTGGTGCAAGCCCTTTGGAAAATGGGCAGTGTCTATGCATATGTTTTCCAGGTGTGTATATGACGAAAGCACATTATGTGAGCACTAAAATATCACATCCAGGGGGCTGGGGATTTAGCTCAGTGGCAAAGTGCCTGCCTCGCAAGCGCAAGGTCGTGAGTTCGGTTCCCGGTACCAGAGAAAAACCAAAAAAAAAGAAAAAAAAAAAAAAAAAAATCACATCCAGGAATGTTTGTGGAAGAGGAAATAACTAGAGACCCCAGATACCCATCATCAGTAGAATAAATCAATAAATTGTGGCATATTTACATAGCATCTCTCTATGTCTAGGAAAAACTTGAAGCATGTAAGCTATAAGCAAATGTCTTTCTGGGAAGGGTATAGAAGACTCGTTTTTACTTTTATTTATTTATTTATTTTGTCTCTTTGAGACAGGGTCTCACTATGCAGTTCAGGCTGGCCTTGAGCTCACTTTGTAGCCCAGGCTGGTCTCGAACTCACAACGATCCTCCTGCCTCAGCCTCCCAAGTGCTGGGATTACAGGCGTGCACTACCACGCCTGGCTCATTTTTACTTTTAAGACTTTAAATGTTTTACAATGAGCACGAATCACTTTTTCAGAAAATATCCCCAGGCTAAGCTTGAACCTGCTATCCTCCTGCCTCAACCTTCCACAATGCTGGGATTACAGTTCTGGGTTGCCATGATTTTTGGCACAGTACTGCTTTTTAAAATGTACTTGAAAGAAGTAAATCTTTTCAATCTTTGCTTAAGAAGTTCATATGTAGCAGTTTTAAAGGATTTTTTTCGCAATATTATTCTTCTGTTCAAGCTATATGAAGTTATGTGAGATGGTTGTTTTTCCTGATGGTACTATTCAGGATTGCTGAAAAAACGCATACAGTAAACCAGATGTGGTGGCACACACCTCTAATCTCCTACATAGTAAGACTCTGTTTCAAAAAAACTAAAACCACACAAAAACAGAAATACATACAGTTGATTTGAGGATGATGTAAACTGCTATAATACGATCGTTTTAGTCATATATTTTTCTTTCCGAAGTCAACGGCCTTTGACTCATGAGTGTGCTCTTAAGGGTGTATTAACCTCCTTCCTTTGCTTCCCAAATGTCCTAATTGCATTTTTAGATGGTATAATTGTATTTGTCCTTTGTATACATAATATACAAATTATTTTGAAATAAATTTCATTTAGTGGTTGATTAATATGATGGTGTTATGCATTAGAATAAGGTGGTGATAAGTGGTCACAGGCTTTGTAAATAAACCTCGAAATTAGGAAATCACTTAGAGATCTGCCCTTTAGATTTACTCTCAGCTTGGAAACACATTGTTTTCACCCTTCTGTAAAGTGCTTCGAAGAATGTAGGGCAAGTGAATAAAATTTGAAAATTTGAGGTTTATTTTTCTTTAAAAATATAAACGGAGTGTTAGTATTTTTTCAGACAATTAGGAGCTAACATCTAAGGGCTTTGGTTGCAGTTCTTTCGCTGCTGATTAGGTGTTCCTTGGTGGTGATTAGTGGATGTACAAATGCAATCATTTGGCAGGGCTTAATCACTCGTATGTTCAAGAAGTTAGTTATCCAGAAAGAGAAATTGAAGCTTGTGTAACTTCTGTTAGTGTTATTTTTTTTAATAGGAAAAAGACATTTTTACTAAATTAAGAACATTGAGTCATGTAAGATACCTTATAGTTTGAAAGAGACAGAGGGCCTGGACAAAGTACATTCTTAGGGTGACCAGCTATTCCAGATTGCCCAGGACTGGCTTGGTATTAGCACTGGAAGTTCTGTCTATGTGTCTATCTATCTATCTATCTATGCATGCAGTGGAAGTTCTTCATCCTGAAATTCTGCTGCCTTGTGGTAACCCCTTAGTCCCAGGTGGGGTTGGTCATCTTCTTTCCCCAGGGTCCCTTACCAGAAGAGGACATGCATTCTCTCTGCTTTAGAATACAGGTGACAGTGAGCCTCAGGTTCTGGTAGAGCAGCACAACCTGAAGGCAGCTTCCCGGAGGAAGAAAGCTGCTACTTCTCCAGGTGCCCAGATATTACTCTTCTGATGATTTCTTACCACATTGTAAACGACTGTAATGTTGAGAGGTTTAAAACAGCATTACTTTAGTTTCTGTCTTGGTTTCTGTGGGTCAGGGAGCTGGGACAAGCACAGCAGGCACTTCCAGCCCCCTCAGTACCATAGTGGCGATAGCTGGAATGGCTGGGAACTGACTGGTCCACACGGCAGTCTCCATACTATCTCAGGACCTCTCCAGAGCCTTTCCCTTTACGGACCAGTGTAAGCTTTGTCGTGGCATTGTGGCCTCCAGGCATTTGGATGCTTACCAGGCACTTTAGCATACCAGAAGTACTATAAGTAATTAATTCAGTTTGCAAACCGAAGCTTTGGCAAAATTTCACTTCCTTTCGTGAGCTCCACATTGGTGATAAATAATACAACCTTGGCCATCTTCCCCAGTAAAGTGCAACAAAATCAATTCATGATCAGAGATACCAGCCAACACATGAGAAATTGCTTTAAATGTCACATAGGGTATTCTTGCACAGCCTCATTTCCAATTCTGAGTCACAAGATTCAAGGGGCAGAACACGGACCCACTTCTTGTTGGTTGTAGTATTAACATCACATTATATGAACATGTGGGATGGAGAGATTATTGTGGCTGTCTTTGGAAAATACTATCAAACACAGTTAATGTGGCCCCAAAGATTTAAAAAACGCAATTTTTTATTAATAAAAGTCATGAAATTGTTACAATATGATTTTTTCCTCATGAATTTTCATAAAGCAATTTTCACTTTGAATATAAACTCAATGGTAAGCCTGCAAATGTTTCTAAACTTGTTCTAAAAACCCTGGGTCACCTATTCTACTGGAAAGAATATCCAGATGTGCCCGTCTGCCTCTGTCTGTTTCTGCCTATCTCTGTCACTGTTGCTGTTGTTATCTGTGTCTCTAATACATTCCCTCCTCTACCACTCCCAGTTCAACTGATTAAGGTAGGTAGAGTGAAAGTTCCTTTGTTCATGTACTGTGAATTTGGGGTGTGGGAGGTGTGTATTTTCACGCACATATGTACTGTGAAGAAGGAAAGAAGGAACCCATGAAAAAGAAGCACATTCATGATACTGGTTTGAACAGAGGAATCTACATCAGGAAAGGACACAGCCATCATTGATGGCTGGAAAGAGAACAAACAGACAGGGTCAGCAGCAGCTCTGCCTATAGCATCGTAGGGGGAAAGGACAGCTCTCCATATAGCATCAGTTTAGTTGTTTGTTTTAAAATGGGGACACTAGTCTTAGGCCCAGCGCTCTTAGACTTCTTCTCCACTGTGTGCTTAAGACCCATGAGGTGTAGCCTCCAGCTTCCATTCCAGGGTGATCGAAATGGCGCTATGTGAAAAATAAAGCAAACTTCCAAGGCAGTTATTTGGGGAATTGGCTGACAGTACTATTTTGCAAAATTTCAGGAAAGCATGATACAAACCTTAATTTTTAAGAACTGTTACTTTGTTGGCTTTATGTATTTTAATGTTGCAAATTCATTCTTATGAGTCTTATATGAATTTTCTTGTTTTGTCCTAGGCTCATTATATTATTCTACTAAAACATTTCATGAATTAAAAACGTATCCTATAGCAGAATGCTTATAATTCTAAGCAACTACTTGTTTAAAAGACATTTACTGTGTTTGGATTGTAGGAATATTGTCATACTGTCCAGCTAGATTCTGGAATAGATTACCGGAAAAGGGAACTCCCTGCTGCAGGAAAACTCTACTACCTGTAAGTTTGTGCGTGCTTTGAATTTAATTTTAAAAGTTTAATATATAATAATTTACTAGGAAAATAAGCACTTTAATAATGAGAGCATAAAAGACTAGTTCTGAAGGCCTTGGTTTTTAAAACAAAATGTTACTATATTCACTGTTTTAAATTGTGTTTTCTGCCATCCATATTTGCATCATTTATAATGTGTGATTGGATGGAACCCTAATTAGTTTTTTGGGGAGGAGTGATGACAGATGGTTGGAAAGTAATGAGTCTCCTCTTTAGAAGAGGCTCTGATATTAGCAGAATATCTTTAATGTGCTAAAGTAATTAATTATTTGTGGACATCTTCTGACAAATGTGCCATTTCCACTCTTCCCAAATTGTTGTTTTATTTTGTCAGGCAATCTGTTTTTATTTATCATGGTTGACTGACTTCCACACAAAATGGATATAAAATATGTACTGTACACAAATACAAGTGGGTATATTTTGAAGTCTTTTAAAATAAGATTTTCCTGAGTAGGAGCAATTTATAATAATAGATGGACTCAGAGTGTGCAGTTAATGCTGAAGAAAAAATACAGTGTGTTTTAAAATGTCATTTGTGAGAACTGGAAAAGGAAAGGTGCTCTGCACAGGCGGACTGTTGTGTAGGATATGCCAGCAGTGTTTGGCACATAGTGGGCTCTCGGTAAATAGATCTGTCTAAGGGCTAAAGGCGTGTTTCGGGTAATTTAAATTTTGATGACAACCTGCATATGAGAGGTTGAGGAAAGTTCTTGTCTCTGCCGCCTTGTTTTTTTTTTATTTTAAAGAGAAAACAAATTAAAATAACAATGAAACAGGGTTTCAAAACAGGTTAGTAGGAGAGTTGCAGTGACTAAGACATTGTGTATTGCTGTCTTCATAGTAGCTATTCAGAGTACACGACTCGGCATGATATCTTGTGCAAACAGTATTAGCACAGACCTTTCTTGTCAGTGATCTGCCACCTTGGAAGCAGAAGTACTGTTTTTGATGTAGAAATTAGCTAGAAAAATCACATAATTAAAACTACATACTTTATTATGCACCAAAGGGACTATTTCAGTTTATTATTCAGATTTAGATGATTATTATAGGAGGTTCTTCATCGACCCTTAAGTACTTTGTCTTTAAAGTACTTTATAATTTAAAAAAATTCTTATGGTGCTATTTATTGCTTTAACTTGGATTTTTTTCTTTCCACATTTATATTGGTGTTTTCTGGTTATGTTATTTTCTAATATTTTCCTGATTTTTTGCTACCTATTTGTTCCTACCTGTGGTACTTACAAATTAACTTATTATGATTCCCTTTATCCTATTTTTTAAAGAAGGAAATTCTTATTCCTTGTTTTCCCACAAAGTATATTTCTATGTGGAACAATTAAAATATTTTTCTAAGGGGAACTTCCTTAAATATAGATGCTAGTAAGAGTCTAAATCATGAAATCTATTTCATGATGCCAGAGAGGTCTCAGTGGGATTTACTGGAGGTAAATGCTGGAAGCATAAGCACTTTCTCTTTCTGACTTAGCCCCTGTTGATCCTTGTGCTTTCTGATAAAAGTAAGATGCTTCTAACACAATGAAATTCATTTTTACTCGTGAGACATGAACTGGAGGAAAATAGACTCAAACATACTCCCAGAATCCAGGAAACTAGAATCCACAGCAGATGCTCTGAAACTCAGGAAAAGTTTTCATTTAAAAAAATACCTCCCTTCTCTAGATAGATAGATAGATAGATAGATAGATAGATAGATAGATAGATAGGTTCATTTACTTCTCAAGGAAGACATATTTGTTTATAAATTTAACATCAAAAGGGTTTTATCATATTCATATCAAGATTAGAGAGTTTTGGGCATACCTCAGTCAGAAGATAAGATGGGTGCATCCCTGTAGGGATTTAGGAATTAAAGTCATCTCAGAAGTATGAAAACGGTATTAGCTACCAAGATGGGATTCTAGGGATGTGCATTTTAGTGTTTTACATGAACAGTCAAGTAGAATTTCTTTCATGGCAGAGTAAAAGAAAATTTCCTTAGGTCATATTAATATTTCTGATTTAATTAAGTTCTTTTTATCTTGCTCTTATAGGAAAACTATTAGTTTCCCTCCTGTAACAGGCTTTAATATGCTGTGCTATATATTGCCTGGTGATAACATGTGTTTCCCTTTACTACCCTCTGGCCAAACATCTGGACTTGGTTCCTGAATATGCAGGTCCAGACAACCCCCTTGTCAATTTCACTGGAGCCCAACTGCCTGAAAAGAAAAACAAAATTCTATCTTCCCTCCCAGGGAATGCCAAGCACTATCTCAGAATTTCATACAAAACAGAATTCCACATATGATTCTTCCTTACATACAAATATTCATTAACTTAGTATTTCACTAGCCTAACTTTCAAAAAGCCAATTAAAAATGTCCAAAAGTGAAATCCATATAACATCAAGAATTCCCAAAGATTTAAAAAACTACCCCTATGGTTGATATGGAACAATTGCTGTCATTTATAATATCGTCTGGTTTCCACAGAAACTAATTTATACAAGACATTGTGTGTTCATTTGTAATCTATTTCAGGTTGTTTTTTTAAATTTTTTTGAGCTGGTTTCTCACCGTGTAATCCAGGCTGGCCTTGCTGAGTGCTGGGATTACAGGCATATGCCACCACATCAAGCTCCTTCTGAAGAATTTCACCACTTTAAATGAACTCTCTGCTGGTGGGCTAGTGATACTAGGGGTCATCATTTTATATGTGCAGTGCGCATCTTTTCAAACCAGGAGGTGTCACTGTTGAGGAAGTTCATGGGATGATGCCCCAAATCATTTTGTCGTCATTTCTGTGAAGGGTCCCTGGGTTCCTAGAGAGAGTATGGGTCACCTCTACGCTCATGTGAGAGGGTAGACGGGGTGACATTGTATCATCTCTCAAGTTTGTGCATTACAAACACAGTTTTGAGAAGTGGTCAGAGCCTTGCATTTTTGTGATCTTTCCTTTTATATTCAGGAGCTGAATGCTATAGGTTCCTTTTTCTATGAAGTCTGTGGGAGGACCTTGGGTGGAGCTGTTTCCTATTCAAGCACTAACTCTCCATCATACTCATATACAAAGCCTCCCTGTGGGGATTATGGATCACCTTGAAAATAAGGAAAAATATAACTTATGACGTTTTAGACATAATCCAAATATTCATTTTTTTCTTTGTACTGGGGATTGAACCCAGGTAATCAAGTGCCAGGCAAGCACTCTACGATGAGCTACATCAAATATTGGAGCTCTTCGAATACTGACGTAGTTTTGCTTGGTTGATATATACATACATTCATCTATCTTTTGAGCAGAAATTTAACTTCAAGAAGAAATTTTTTCTTAAATACTTTTATCAGAAGAAAATTCTAGTCACAAATATCACCATTTTCCATTTGGGAAACATCTATTCCAGATAGGAAATAGCTTTGGAGAATATATCTTTGAACATCATTTTAAAAAATAGAACAGCTAATTTCTATTACTTCATTGAAAGGAAAAGTTAGTGTTTATATTGTATGGTCAGTTTTGCATGCCTGTACCTGGTAATCTGAGCAACTACTTTGAAGGTCACAATATGCAATATAATAACCATTGTTAATTTCCTATCAGCTTGTTTTTAAAATTATGTATCATTTTTATTGTTTTTTTTGTCTCTTTAAAATAAAAAAAATATATATATATACAGCAGCTGACATAAAACTCAGTGCTTTGAGGTTACAGCTCTGTTTTATTTTTATTTTTTTATTTTTTTGTTTTTTTCTGGTACAGGAATCGAACTCATGACCTCACGCTTGCCAGGCAGGCGCTGTGCCGCTGAGCTAAATCCCCAGCCCCCTATAGTTCTATTTTAGGAGAAAATTCTGTAGAAATCAGGACTGAGGCCTGTTCTGGTGGTGACTGAAACTCATACTTCCCCAAATTAAAGACCTTGTGTTTTTGGCCTGTGATACTCCTTACAAACACTCCTTAGCCTCCAACCTAGAGAGAACCCAGATCAATGAAAACAAAACATTCCTTAGCCTGATCGCCGCATCTTCCGACACCTAAAACTTCGGCAGAACTTTTCCCTGAGCATTGCCACCTCCTAGATCAACTAGTGTGTCTGGGACATCTTACAACCACCTTCCCTTCCCTCTGATGTAATTTATTTCAGGACCTTGTATCAGACTGTGCAGAGAGCCAGTTGAAACAATTTCGCTCTCATTACAGCATCATTTTCACAGTCTTAGGCCAGTTGCAGGCCAGCTTTCCTTCTTTGCATTTTTTACCCATCACAGGTGTTCAACCTTTTGCCTTACCCAGCCAGAATGAGTGGAGGGAATTGTCTTGGGCCTGTATAAAATCCATAATGTAGTAAATGTATATAAGTAACATAACTTCCTTTATTTTTTATTATTAAAACATTTAAAAAGGAAGGCAACATAAACATAAAACTAGAGGGATATTTGACCTTACTTTTGCAAAACTAATGCAATATCTGCCTTGATGAAAGTGATTGCTCATGTTTAATAATTAAATAATTAAATAAGAAAATTTACATCTGCATAGTAGAAATAAACACTTGTCTTCACTGGAGCATGTATGTAGGGAGGTGGAGATGCTGTTATCAGTAAGTGTTGCATTTACTCTCCAAGTTGCACAAACGCACGTAACCTCTAATGCACATGGGTTTTGATTCAACTGTGTGTGGTGCACACAGAAAGCAGAGTTGGCACTGCATAGTGCCCTCCTCTGTCACCTGCATGGTCTGCACCCAAGCACTATGCAACTGAGTCATGAAAAGTACCACTAGAAGTCATATAATAATGTTAAAAGTTTATGATCTTGTCAGGCATGGTGGTGCAGGAGGCTGAAACAGGAGGATCGCCATGAGTTCAAGGCTAGCCTTTACTACATAGTGACCTCAAGGCCAGCCTGAACTATATTGTGAGACTGTGTCTCAAAAAAAA